CATCCGACCATAGGGGTTGGTGCTCAACTCCTGGCAGCCTTAGCAAGAGTCTGCCCAAATAACAAATTTGGGACCCGAGGTCTAAAAGAAAGATCAGGATACTACAGTACAGCAGTACAAATTCAGCAGTCTAGCTATTACCTAACAGAGAGTTTTGCATATTTTTAAAAGTAACATAAATATCAGGGCATAAGAGAGGTGGAGGGAAAGATCTAGATTGTTTATAAAATCTACTGGTCTCTCCACACCAAAACTTCTTTCCAAAGAAAAGCCTACTGGATTTTGTTATGTATTTCCTGCAACGTGCTCCTTTACAAAGATCTATTTTCAGCCTAAACCCTCCCTGCATATTTTACAGATTTTACGCAGATGAGGGGAGGCAGGGAGAAGGACATTCCTTCAAAGTAACACACAATTCCTATGGATATGCATGGTTACAGAGGCTGTTATTACAGCTACATTGTTCAGGCCATCTAGTCACGTTCCAACCATTCAAGACTTTGGCTTTTTTTTTTTCTGATGCCAAAATGTATCCTGCACATGTGCTTCATACAGCAAACACAAAGCTACTGAGCTAATTTTTTTCTAGTCAACAAAAGTTCAGAAAGAGTCAGCTGGAGAACACAGACACTGCACATTTCCTAAGAGGTTCATATGACCAAGAATATCCTACAGGGACAGACTGTTGCTTAGCTCTGCTTTCTGACTTCTTCGGGCACCAAGAGAATGAAATTCTGCACCATGGGAGGAGTACCACGCATACTCTGTCTTGCTGAAATCTGTGATTATCTCATCATTGCTGATCTTAACCACAGTGTTATTATGCAGGCCTGTGAACATTTTTTTGGCAAAGGCTTCCTACTATTGTCATTTGCTTTAATTAGTCTCTGGTCCCACATTAAGATTTTTCCAGGTGCCTCTAGCTCACTACTGATTCTGGGATTGTAAACACAATCTTTCTGTCACTGTGCAGTAGCCTATTTAATATATTAAGGGCACACTAGACTGTATAACTAGAAAAGATGGAAGATGATGATGATGATGAACTGCCTTCGCGTCGATCTTGACCCATGGCAACCCTATGGATGAGACATCTCCAGCCCCCATCCTCTACCGCTCTGGTCAGCTCCTGCAAACTGTTATTCGTGGTCTCTTTAATAAAGTCCATCCATCTAACATGTGACCTTCCTCTCTTTATACTTTCCTCCACCTTTCCTAACATTATTACCTTTCCCAACGATTTACGTCTTCTCATGATGTGTCCAAAGTATGACAGTCTAAATCTGGTCATCTTGATTTCTAGGGGTATCTCTGGCTTGATCTGCTCTAGGACCCATCTGTTTTGTCCTTTTGGCTGTCCATGGGATCCTTAGCACTCTTCTCCAGCACCACATCTAAAATGAGTTGATTTTCCTCCTATCTTTTTTCTTGACTGTCCAGCTCTCACATCCATACATGGTAATAGGAAATACAATGGCTTGTATGATTCTGACTTTTGTGCTGAATTGTATGCCTTTGCATTTTAGGATCTTTTCTAATTCTTTCATAGCCGCCCTTCCCATTCTTAAATCTTCTCCTGATTTCCTGACTGCAGTCCCCATTCTGATCAATGTTTCATCCCATATGAGAATCCTTTTACTATTTCTATTTCCACATTGCCTAGTTTGATTGTGCGTAAGGTCTCTGTGGTCATTATTTTTGTTCCTTTATGTTCAACAGTAAGCCTGCCTTTGCACTTTCTTCTTTGATCTTCCTTAGTAGTTGTTCCAGATCTGTGAGGTTCTCTGCTAGTTTATGGTGTCGTCAGCATATTTCAAATTGTCGATATTTCTTCCTCCTATTTTCACTCCTCCTTCTTCCATGTCCAATCCTGCTTTCCTTACAATATGTTCTGCATATATAGGTTGAATAGGTAGGATAATAGGGTGTAGCCTTGTTTGACTCCTTTGCCAATTGGGAACCATTCTGTTTCTCTGTGTTCTGTTCTGACAGTAGCTTCTTGTCCTAAGTACAGATTCGTCATCAGGATTATCAGATGTGTTGGCACTCCCATGTCTTTAAGGGTATTCCATAGCCTTTCATGATCTATGCAGTCAAAGGCTTTACTATAGTCTATAAAGCACATGCTCTTTTTCTTTTGGAACTCCTGCTACACTCCATTAGCCATCGTATACATGCAATGTGATCCCTGATGCCTCTTCCTTTCCTGAACCCTGTTTGGGCCTCTGAGATTTCTCTCTCCATTTGTGGTTGGAGTCTGTGTTGCAGTATTTTGAGCATGATTTTGCTTTCATGGGAGATTAGTGCTATGGTTCTATAATTGCTGCAGTCTCTTATGTCTTCTTTTTTGTGGATGGGGACGTATATTGATTGCTTCCAATCTGCTGGCCATCGTTTTGTTTTCCGTATCTGTTGACATATGTTGGTTAGCACTAGAATTGACTCTGTCAGTGTGGATTGCAACAGTTCTATTGGTATATCATTGGTTCCTGGAGTCTTGTTTTTTTGCCATTTCTTTTATTGCAGCTTCCACCTCAGTTTATAGAATTTGGGGTTCATCTTCATATGGCTCTTCACTCCATGTGTCCTTCATTTTGTCATCTCTTTTGTATAGTTCTTCTGTGTATTGCATCCAACGTCTTTTTTTTCCTTCCTGATCTTGAATTATGTTATTTTTATTGTCGTAGAGCTCCCTGGTTCTTGGTTTGATTTCCTTTGATTTCCCAACGCAACTCTTTTTGCGTTGAAAGAGGGGTAGTCTTATATGGCAAGTATATCCCAAACTCTGTATTTTAACTGGAAAAGTTGGGGGTCATCTTATAAGCCCAGTTGTCTTATACACTAGAAAATATGGCATGTAATCTATTTGGGTTTTGTGTTGGCCATCATGTGATGTCCATGTCCTTTTCTTTGGCTGTATGAAAAATGTGTTTGCAATGAATAGGTTGTTGGCTTCACAAAAATCTATCAGATGCTGACCTGCTTCATTCCTATTGCCTAGTCCAAATCTGCCTACCGTTTTTTATTCTTCTTTATTTCCAACCTTTGCATTCCAATCCAATGATCAGCTTGACATCCTGTGTTTGTGTGTTGTCAATTTCTTCCTGTACTCCTTTGTAAAATCAATTTCTTCTTGTTCTGTCTCAGTAGTTGATGCATATACCTGAATTATGGTGATATTCATAGGTTTCTCATGAAGACTTATTGAGATGATTCGGTCTGATTTTGTACTGTATCCTCTGACTGCTTTTGCAACATCTTTTCTTAGTATGAAAGCCATCCTGTTTCTTCTTGTCTTTTCATTCCCTGAGTAGAACACTGTGTGGTTGTCTGATTCAAAGTGGCCCATTCCTGTCCATTTTAACTCACTCACCCGCAGTACTGCTATGTTCATGTGTTGCATTTTCATGTTCACTATGTCTAGCTTCCCTTAGCTCATACTTCTACATTCCTTGTCCCTATTTTATGTGTGGTGTTGCTTCTGATGGGGTTTCTCTTTCTGAGAGTGTTAGACAGTCTTCCTAACCTAGTCTAACAATTTTAAATTAATGGACAGCTGTTCAAACAAAACCAGTCCAGTTTTGGACCCACTCTTAGATCTGGTTTTAGTGGTGGCCAGCAGTGTTTCTGTTAAGCAACTTTTACCATTTGTAAAAGTGTCAGATCTGGTCATAGCAGCATACCTTTTACAGTGCAATTGCAATGCATGTTTCCTCTAACTTCTATATGAGACTCCCAGGAAACTGCATAGGCTGTAGCCTGAGTTACATCTGGCTTTAATTACTGCAATATTTTCTACATGGAGCTGTCTTTAAAGATTTCAAATGCTGCAGACAAGCTACTGAGCAGTACTACTGTATACACTCGATTATAAGTCAAACTCATGTATAAGTCGAGGTCAGCCTTCGGGGCCAAAATAGTTGATTTTCATATGGATAAGTCGATATAAGTTGAGGATAAGTCATGGGTCAAACGTAAGGAGGCAGCCAGCTGGGAAGAGGCTCAAGGAAGATTTTCCCACCTCTTCCCAGCTGGGTTGCCCCTCCAGGCTGCGGGTGATCAACTGCCCTCCCTGCTTCTTACCAGTTGGGTTCCCGCCTCCAGAGGCAACCCAGCTGGGAAAAGGCTGTGGAGGATTGCTTTGTCTGACTTTCCCCAGCTGCGCTGCCCCCTCTGAAGGCAACCCAGCTGGGAAGAGGCTGCGGCAGCAATTGGTCACCTTCCCAGACTTTTCTCAGCTGGAGTGCCCCTCCGGAGGCAACCTAGCTAGGAAGAGATAAGGGGGTCCACCATATTGACCCGTGTATAAGTCAACCCAGGTTTTTGGGGGTTAATTTTTGACCTAATTTTTTAAAACTTATACATGAGTATATATGGTAGTTAGAGAAATCCCATGATTTCTAGCTAACCGAGTCACAGCAAGAGTTGGTCTATTTCCAGGTTCAGTACAAAGTGCTTGTTAGGGCATACAAAGCCGCAAACTATTTGGGACAAAGATATCTGTAGAGCTGCATACACTGTAACAGGATGCCATTTTGTTTACTTTGTTATCTTCTTTTATCAATTTTCATCAACTTTACTTGACCTTTTGTTCACCACATGATCTATCCAATGCCTGTGCAAATGGCGAGCCTTCCTGAACAGTCCATGCTGTGTAGTGTAGTACTGAAGTGGAAGGGGAAATCTTTCCAAATCTTACTGGAGAAAGAACCATTTCCATGATTTGGGATGATTCTCTGCCCACTTGCCTATTACAGTCCTATATTATACAAACCCATAATAGAAAGAGTACTGTATAAAAGCAGTAATACCACACACTCTGAACTGTGACTGAAAATTGACCATCAATTATTGCAGGTGTTGCATGCTCTCTGTAACTTGTTCTTGTCATGTGTCTTAGAAGTTGTTTCCAACTTATGGTAATGCTAAGGCAAACCTATCAATGGGTTTTCAGCAGCTGAGAGTATGTGACTCACCCAAGGTCACCCAGTGGGTTTCCATGTCTGAGTGGGGAATAGAACCCCAATCTCCAGAGTCATAATCCAACACTCAATCCACTATACCACACTGGCTCCCCCCCAAAAAAATTCAGGATGCTCTGGATAGGAAAAGAAAAATGTAAGTTGCACAAGCTGCCTTCCATTTTCATAGTCACTGTATATAACCTACACCTACAGCTATATGAATTAATAATAATAATAATAATAATAATAATAATAATAATAATAATAATAATTTATATCCCACCCCTCTGCAAAGCAATCCAGGCGGCTTACAACATTAAAATTTCCATACAGATATATGAATACAATCTAAACAGAACATAAAAATCCCAAATCCCACCCAACCTTTAAGAAGTAAGGGTTCTTCTTATTCCAGGCTGGATGGTGCTGGGTCTAGTGTCTCTCCCCCAGATGACATCGGATGGAATGGAGGGAGGGCTTTTCTTATTATTAGTTATTACTGTACATTTTATTTGCCTTAATTCCCATGAGCAACATAAAGGAACAATCTGATTGTGTAACAAACAGTATAACTGTGCAAAAAAAAAAAAAAAAACCAAAATAATTTCTACTCATCAGATTTCCAGTGCAGTCCAGAAAAAGTAGAGAATAGACACACTGAAAATAAGTCCGGCAAGTGAGCCAAGCCACATTACAAAGAAATGAAAACAACCTCTACTGCCAGCCATCTTTCCTGGACATCTCAGATATCAGTCCTTCCAAAAATTGAGTACAGGATTCAATTTCAGGCAGCTAATGTCTTCCCAAGCATTATTCTAGCTTTAGCAAAATTTCTATGTAAAACTGTTGTTGTGTGCCTTCAAGTTGTCACTTAAGATGACCCTAAGAAAAAGTGATCACAGGGATTTCTTAGCAAAATTTCTTCAGAGAAGATTTGCTATTGCCTTCCTCTGAGGTTAGGAAAGATTGTAACTTGCCCAAGGTAACTCAGTGGGTTTCCATGGCCAAGGAAGGATTCAAACTCCCAGAGTCCTAGAACAACACTCCAACCACTGCATCCATGCTAGCTCTATGTAATACACTTGCTACAAAATCAACAAACATTTTTGCCATACAATGTATTTTTTCCAACATATATTTACTATCACTTGGGAAAAGTCATGCTGTACTATTTTAAAGGTAGAACTTTTTTTTTTTTTTGAATGGCTGAGAAGGCAGCCAAAGGCTATAAATGGCAAAAAAAAAATTTTTTTGAAAAAGGAAGAAATTAATCACATTTAGGTGTCACTGGCTGAAGACAAGCTATAAATATCAGCTATATGGAACCTTGACCAAACTCACACATACACACACTTAAGAGTTTTTTATGAAACATAAGGGACAAGATTAGTATTTTGAGAGGGGAAATGGTCATACCATTTTTAGTCAGACAAAGATTTAAGCTACAGTCCTAAAGGGCCTGAACACAGCTATACTGGGACTTATCCTAAGTAAACATGCATAGGATTAGGCTGTTAAACAACATACCTCTGAACAGCTTTTCTATATACTGTACATGAAACCTTTATACGATTCCATAAATAATTCTGTTTTCAAGTAATTTAACAACCTATTTCTGTCAATGGATGTGGGTTTGTGAGTCAATGGAACATCGCTACATATTTTTCTGTAACATTTTAAACACATTGCTTTATGTGCTTGTTTTCACCAGAGTATGGGATTGAAGTCAGCTAAGTCACCTTAGAGTCGCTGTAAGTCGGAAACAACTTGAAGGCACAACAACAACAACAACAAAGTATTTCAGACTAGGACCGTGAAGTTTACCATCTGTGAACAGAGATCAGTCACTCACTGCACTGTCACACACACTGAAGTGTGACTTGGAGCATATCTACACTAGACAATTATAAAATGAGGGTCTTGTGATTTATTTTCTGGTAAGAGACTAAGAATTCTTCACTAAATAGCTATAGTACTGCAGTTCACGGCAGTGGCCTAGAATTTCAAGTACCTCACTAAACAACCAATCCCAGGATTCCATAGGGTGACAGTTTCCTAAGTTAATATGGTATCAAACTGCTATAACTGTCTAGTATAGATAAAGTTGTGGTCCAGCAGGACTGAACTTCAGTGAGCTACGCAGTCAGGAGTAGCAGTTCAGAAACTTCTCTCTTTCCTTAATCACATTTGTCTGTAGCTTCAAACTATGAAATTGTGGCTATTTTGGAACAAGCCAGTTTCAAGCTCTATTTTATGAATTAAACCTAATTAGAGTGCTTAAGGAAAATACATTTGGGAACAAGGGAGAGAACATATCCAGGGGTCAGTATGTTGGCCATACAGCAAAGTCTGATAACATCCCAAATCTACAAAACATATTTGGTTGGCCCCTATATTGGGCCAACCAAAATGCACAATATACATGTTGCAAGCTTTTGAAGCTCCATTGGCTTCTTCATCAGGCAATGATTAAAAATCATATGGGAAATGTGATGAAGTTAGTCATAGGCCTGCATTTTGACAAGATGTTGTTGTTGTTGTCCTCAGTTCAGATTGTATGGAAAGGTATTCATGCAGGCAGACCCTCCTCCTTCTGGCCATGTGGGTACTGGGAGATTCTTAAAGTCCAGGAAATAAAATTTAAATTCCATTAGCAAAACAAAAAGACACACCCTTTCAGATCCAGTTTGTCTCAATTATTTTATGAGGCTACACACCCCTTTAAGAAGCACAAGCACAAACTTTGGAACACCTTCTTTCAGCCATGTGAGAGGCAGATAGGGGGAGTGAAGAATGTGCGAGGAATATTATGACTAGTTTCGGTTCATGCATCTTACATTAAATCATAGTTTATGGCAGTGCTTCTATCTGATGTGGGGAAAAAGCAGTTACCTTCCAGGACTGGTACCATATTTGTGCCCATCGGGTACAACCATGTCTTTCTTTCCTGGAACCCCATTGTTGTATAGCAATCAGTTGTTCATAAACCAGCATCAATCCAGGGGCTACCACTTTCAATAGCACTGGTTTAGGGTCACAAGAAAACATGTTCACTCTTTTACCTTAATTGAACTCACAGTTTCTGTGAACATGAAAAGGAGAGGAAGAATGACAATATGTATAACCCAAAGCTCTTTCAGGAGGAGAAAATAAAATATTTTAATATTACAGTACAGTGGTCCCTCCACATTTGCTGGGATTAGGGCTGAAGGCCTTCCGTGAATATGGAAAAAATGCAAATAAAAACCACTTTTTTATCTCTCTAGGAATCTCCAGGTCTTCCAATGCAACTCTATGGTCAACATTTGCCAGAAGTTGACCACAGAATCATGCTGAAGGACCTATAAATGCCAGAGAAGCATTTTCTCTAGGAACATCTAGGTTCTCCAGCACAACTCTGTGGTCAACTTCTGGCAGAGTTGCCTGGAGGACTTAGAGATTCCTAGAGAGCTTATTAATCAAAACCACAAATACTCAAATCTGCAAAGTCACAGCCACAAATGTGGAGGGCCAACTGTAGTACATAAGTACTTATTTGTGGCCATCATTCTTTGTACAAGATTCATAGAAGATTTAGTACAAAATGTTTATGGCAAAACTGGAAATTTTGCATGCAAGAGTTTTGAAGAAAAACTACAGGAGCACATATATTCCATGTTATAGAATTAAAGCAATTACAAAATTTTAAAGCTGATTTAGGCTAGGTTTGATTTTTTTCTCTTTTTCTTTCCTTCTTTTTTGCTGAAAAGCAAGGCCAGTAGTAACACACAGAAGTGTAAAAAATGAGCTGCAAGTAGTTTAGCTTCTTCACCTGCTAAATGTCTGTGTTTCAGACTGGTGTTAAAAACACTGAAAACAGGGCCAAATGGTGGATTCCAAGAGCTAAATCTGACATTAGTCTTATTTTGAACAGACCCACTGAAATCTGTAAGTATTAAATTAGTTGTAGCTTTTTTTAAAAAAAAAACTATTCTGTTCCTTTGTTTATATTCCCTCTTTTCCCTACATCTGGCACTCAATATAGTATTCATATAAATTGTCCTACTCTAAGAGGAATTAATATTGAATTTAGGCTTATAACTTTCCAAGTTATATATTCCAGAAGGCTGTTACAAATGTTGAATAGTATTCAAGACTCCTAGGTTCCATATTTATATCAGATGTTTGTATGTATTAAAGTTGCAGCACTATACTATCTAAACACAATCAGATGACCACACCCTGACCTCTGGGAAACAGACAGACAAATACATATATTTGTATGAAGTATTAATAGAAAAGGAGACACCAGAATGCCCCCATCCCATTTGTGAAACTACTACTATATAAAGCACCTGAAACATATGAAGTTGTGGAAGTACGTCTGCCAAGCAGAGAGAAAATCCTGTCCTGAAGACACAAACGCCATACAGAATCAAGTGTTCGAATACATTCTGCATCAGTAAGTAATAAAAAAAAATATTCCGACGATATAACAAGGTCTTATAAATAATCTCTCTCAAAAGCAGTTATGATTTCCTTCATTTCCTTCCCCAGGCTGACTTAAAATAGCTCTTGTTAAAAGCTTCTCCCTCTGTGAAGCACAGTTACAGTACTGTTACTTCATACTTACAGTGATTACTTTGTGGTCTGACCACACACGTAAACAGATAAACACCCCCACAGACATACGGAACTGCATTCTATGGACAAGCCTAGGGAAACAGTGCTATTGGCAGGATAAAAACATATGGAAGAAAGGTCCTCTCATTAAGAGAACATGGTGAAGAGCCCAGCATTTGTGGTCCTCTACAAACAATTATCCCCAAATGTCTGTAAAGGTGAGCCAACACATGTATGACTACAGCCACTAAAACATCAGGTGAGAATTTGCATGTGTGAATCAGCTACCAAAGCAGATCAATGCAGATTTTAAATCCTCTGATTATTTCTTCAAAATAATTTATTTCTTTTTTTAGATTAATTTTTATTAATTTTAACACATACTAATTTACACTCAAAATAATATACAATGAAAGATAAAGAAATTGGAGGGGTGGGGGAAGGAGAAGGAGAAGGAGAAGGAGAAGGAGAAGGAGAAGGAGAAGGAGAAGGAGAAGGAGAAGGAG